GAAAACTATCTCTGCATCTAGGTTTTCTTCAATGCAAAATAAAAGCAAAAAGACAAAACAAAACAAAAAAAAAAAAAAAACACAATACAACAGTCCTTTCTTTCTAGTTTCAATATTCAATGATAGTCCCTAAGGCACAGATTTCCAAACTTTCTAAGTTCATGGAACCCTCAAGATCTCAGTAATTTCTCCCAGTAACTATAACAGTCCAAGAAAACAATAACAATTCCACTTATTAAGTAGCTGGTAGTCATTTTAAAAGTAATCTATCTCAAGTGAAAAAATTCATGTTTTTACTTCATTACAAAATAACCACAATTACTTATGGAACATTTATTAATATTATACATCACATACTTTCTCAAACCTTGGAATCAAAGTAGACACGACAGTCCTGTTTTCAGTTCCATGATGATTTTAGTGATTTGGGAAAAGGGCATTTTTTTTTTTAAATATTTTAGTTGTAGATAGACATAATATCTTCATTTATTTATTTTTACATGGTGCTGAGGATCAAACCAGTGCTTCATGCATGTGAGGCAAGCGCTCTACCACTGAGCTACAACCCCAGCCCTGGGAAAAGGGCATTCTAAGCCAAAAACACATCATATTAAAACTTAAGGGCTGGGGATGTGGCTCAAGCGGTAGCACGCTCGCCTGGCATGCGTTGCAGCCTGGGTTCAATTCTCAGCACCACATACAAACAAAGATGTTGTGTTTGCCGAAAACTAAAAAATAAATATTAAAATTCTCTCTCTCTCTCTCTCTCTCTCTCTCTCTCTCTCTCTCTCTCTCTCTTTAAAAGATAAAATAAATTAAAAAATAAATAAAACTTAAAAGACTGGGGTTGTAGCTCAGTGGTGCAACACTTGCCTAACGAGTAAGGCACTGAGTTGGATTCTCAGCATCGCATACAAATAAGATCCATCAATAACAAAAAATATTTTTTAAAAAAGTATGAACAAACTTTTAGAAGAAAGATCACAACATGCTTAAGCAAGGACATATCAGAGAACTACAGTTTCCTCCACAGGATGTCATAATATACCAAAAACTTTTATAAACTTAAAATGGCACTGTTAGCACAAAATCATGGAGCCTGGCACTAGAACTGCCTTTTTTGTGTGTGGTGATTGAACCTAGGACCTTGTGCATGCAAGGCAAGCACTTTACCATCTGAGCTATATCCCCAGCCCTAGAACTGCCTTTTTAAAATAACTATATAGAGAGCTAAACTCATTTAACAAAGACTTTTCACCATGAGTATAATAACTCAATACTATACTTATGCTCACAACATACTAAAAATTTAACATTTTGCTGGGCATGATAATGCTGCCTGTAATCCCAGCAGCTCAGGAAGCTGAGGCAGAAGGATCGCAAGTTCAAAGCCAGCCTCAGCAACTTAGTAAGGCCCTAAGCAACTTAGCAAAATCCTGTCTCAAATAAAACACAAAAAAGGTTGGGGATGTGGCTCAGTGGGTAAGAGCCCCTGGGTTCAATCCCTCCTGCCAAAAAATAAATAAAAATAAAAATATAACACTTTAATTTCAAATGCACTCCTATGTCTTATATTTGTAAAACATCTTGCAAAGGGTGGTATTGGGTTGTGAACTCAAGAGCATTCTGCCTCTGAAGTATATCCCAAGTCCTTTTATAAAATTTTGGAACAAGGGGCTGGGACTGTAGCTCAGTGACAGAGTGCTTGCCTAGCATGTGTGAGACACTTGGTTCAATCCTTAGTACCACATAAAAATAAATAAAATAAAGACATGCTGTCTATCTACAACCACAATATATATATATATATATATATATATATATATATATATATATATATATATATATACACACACACACACACACACATATTTTTTTTTTTGAGATAAGATCTCACTAAGTTGCCCAGGCTAGAGTCAAACCAGAGATCTTCTTGCCTCAGCCCCCTAAATCACTGGGATTACAGGAATGCACCACACCACAACCAGCTAAAAAATCATCTTTACTGCCAGGTAGGGTGGTACATGCCTGTAATCCCAGAGATTCAAGAGGCTAAGCCAGGAGGATCCCAAGTTCGAGGTCAGCCTTAGCAACTTAGCAAGGCCCTAAGCAACTTAACCAGAGCCTGTCTCAAAATAAAAAGGGCTTGCTGGCATGGTGGTGCACAACTGTAACCCCAGCGGCTAGGGAGACTGAGGCAGGAGGATCTCGAGTTCAAAGCCAACCTCAGCAACAGCAAGGCGCAAAGCAACTCACTGAGACTCTATCTTTAAATTTTTTTTTTTAACAGAGAATTTTTTTAATGTTTATTTTTTAGTTTTCGGCAGACACAACATCTTTGTTTGTATGTGGTGCTGAGGATCGAACCCGGGCCACACGCATGCCAGGTGAGCACGCTACCGCTTGAGCCACATCCCCAGCCCGAGACTCTATCTTTAAATAAAATACAAAAAAGGGCTGGGATGTGGCTTAGTGGTCAAGTGCCCCTGAGTTCCATAAGCACCATAAGCACCTCTGGGTTCAAACCACGGTACTGAAAAAAAAATAATATCATCTTTATTAAAATTTATAATACAAGAATATTATTAAATGCCTGATTTATTAAAGGATTTTTGAAACATTATTTCATTGGCTCCTCAGCTACTATCTCCACTTACTGAAGATACTGAAGTCCATATAAATTATTTATCCTACAACCTATGTCACAATGCTCAACACTAAAAATTTATGTGTTTTTCTAGTATACTAAAAACATCTTCCCAAAAAGACTTAGTTCAAGTCTTGTTTGCTGAATCAGTATAATCAACTATTTCATGTTACCTGATTATCATCAAAGTTCTGAAAATCTTTTCTCTGCACAGTAATGGCATTTCACCTGCAGAGACTTTTCATTGCCAAGTGTCTTGAACTATATAACATTAATTAATAATTACTCTTAGATCATCTTATGACAGGATCTATTATTATGAGTCCCCTAAGCAACTATACCAATGGTAATGCAGTGGCTGAGCTAAACAACTCCTCCTGGTCCAGATTATTTCCCATTTTTACTTATCTGGTGGCTCAATATTCAATACTAAAATAAACTGAACAATATTCCTACACATAAAATGCCATCCCCAAAAGCCTATGCCTACCTCTTAATTTGGTCAAGTAAATACTCAAAACAATTTACCAGCAATTCTTTCCCTAAATTTCCAAATTTTTCTCTCTGACACACATTACAATCATTTCTCATAATATCCTAAAAGCAACTTACTAAGGCATCCTACTTCACAATAACTATTTTCTTTAAAAAAAAAAAAAGTGTAAATACAATTTTATAATGAAATCACTACATTGGGAGCTCAATTTCCAAAGAAATTCTGCAGAAAGTCTTTGCATACAGTAGTTAATCACTCCTATTTTACACTATTTTTTAATTAGCCTTTTATAAGCCAGTTTATTAAGAGTAGAGGAGATGCACACAACTAAGAAGAGATATTGACCCATACTATTACTGTCTGTATTAATGTGAGTCACTGATGACCATAACATCATACCGGTAATATTTTGAAGAACTTCCCACTTGGGCTCTTCCTAGCAATGTAAATATATTAACAAAACCTAATTCATTTCTATAGATAATTGAGGAGCGAATCTGCTTTCTTGGAAAGGAATCAGTTATTTGCTTTATACAATACCCAGTACCCAGTCCACTTTGGCCACCTAATATAAACCAAAAAGAAAAATATATATATATATATTTGGAAAGCGTTTCTCCTCCAGTCAAGGGCTGTTTCCAGATAAAAAAAAAACTCAGGGCACAACAAACAAGGCTTTTCTGAGGAGGGAAAATGTGCAGAAAAGGAAAAACACGGATCAGGAACAAATAGGAGTAAAGTGTTAGCGCTCAGTGTGAGGACTGTAGGCAGCAGGCACAGAGCTGAGATGCTCCAGCAAAAGAACCAGCAGCAGCAGCAGGAAGTTTCAATGGGGCCGGGCAGAGCATGCGCTCTGCACCCGCGCGGTGGCCTTATGTGGAAGGAGCAGCACTTGCGAACACCAATAATAGACCAGCGGCACCAGAGAGAGAAACATGAGCAACAAGCACCTTCTTCAACTGTTTCCCCGCCGTCAGAGCCCCTCCTCCAGCCTACAGACTAACCACCCCACCCCACCCTGCAAATGGGAGGGCTACTTCTTCTTTCCCTAAAGCCCTGCTGCCGAGATTAAGGGGGAAGGGACTGGAAAAGTGAGGAGATGCTTTTCTATTATTTTGGGGGAGGTGGGTAGAGGAAGGAGGAAAACTATGGAGGAGAAATTAACCCTCTCCGCTCCAAATTGGAGAAGCTGAAACGACTTCATTCCCTCCTACGGGAGAATGGAAGAGAACATCCTCCACTGCGGGAGGAGCAGACCTCCCTACACGGAGGAAGGACTTGGGGGGTTAAACTAGACCTCCAGGGGAAGAGAAGGGGGATAAGCCGACTCTCTCGGGGGAGTTCCCACCAGAGGGAGGGAGAGTCGAGTGTTCGCCAGCCCCCACCAACTCAGGTGGAGGGAGATAAGGGGGCGCCCCGAGATATGGGCCCAGCCTCCCCAGAGACGGTCAGGAGAATTGGTGGGAGGAGGGGAGGAGGAGAAAAGCGCAAAGCTGGCCGGAACCTGCGCTCCCCTTCCCCCGCCACCTAGAGGGAGAAGGGGTGGGGAACCGGCCCCGCCGCAAGGGAGCAGTCCCAGGGGCGGCAGACCAGCACAATGACCCCTCCCCGCCCCCAGCCCACACCTAGCCCGCGACGCCCCCACCTCTGCTCCCCGCCGGGCGCAGTGGCCCCGGGAGGCCTCCGCCCCGCCTCCCCACTGTCCAGGACCCCCGGGGCTACGCGGAGAAGACGGACTGAGCGGAGCTGCGCCCCAAGAAGAGGACTGGGGCGCCGAGGCCCAGAATGTCTAAGAAGAGCGGAGAGAAGGAGCGCGCCAGGGCCGCTTCCCGCCGGGCGTTCGGGCCCCAGGCTTACCTTCTCCGTTGCCGACGTCCGGCGGCGGCGCCTGCAACACCCGCTCCAGCTCAGGGAACGGCAACTCCGGCAGATCTAGCAGCGGCCCATAGCGCTCCAAGAAGGAGCAGACTACGGCGAAGTTGGGGCACGAACCCGGGCAACCCGGAGGAGCCATCGCCGCCGCCGCTGCCGCCGCCGTCGCCATTTTGAACTGGAGGATGGAGGAGGAGGCGGCGATGGGGGGGCGGGGGAGTTGGGGTGCCGAGGAATGGCAGGGCAGCCTTACGGACGACAGGAGGCGCTCTCGAGTGGACTCCCCTGCGGATCTGAGCGTCTCAGGGACGGCGCCGCGATCCCACAATACAACGGCGGCCCAGAGCAGTCGAGAACCAAGTCAGACAGGGGGACAGAGAGGCGCTCCGTGCCTTTCACTTTCCGCCCTCTTTCCGCCCCGTTCCCTCCCTCTACTTCTCCCCTCCCACTTGGGGTTTGCCACAGCCTCGTGTGACAGGGGGAATGAAAACAAGGGAAACGGGGCGGGGAGGCGGGCGCAAGTTGGAGGGGCGGGACTCTCAGGAACAGTGGCCAATAGAACTGAAGGGGCGGGGCTTCTGGTGCAGACAGGCTGAAGGCTTGAGAGCTGGGGAACCCCTGATCCAGAACTACGGAGCTCCCCGAAGTGAAAGGTAAAGAAAGCACGGAGCCATCTCCGCAAGCAACTCTGAAAAGAGAGTCATTGCGTGAGTTTTGGAGGGAATCCGGCCACGAAATAGTGGGAGAAGTTGAGGAGAGAGAATGAGCGGAAAAAGAAGAATGTGGTTGGGAGGGGCAGTATGGTGGGAGGAGGTCCGGGAGAGCAAAGGTAGCAAGGTGTCATAATTATGGGTTGGGATGGAACCGTTGTAAGAAGTCTGTGAAAGTTGGCTGAGAGATATTGCTCTCTACCAGGGTATAAGAATCACCTTAGCTAGAAAAGCCATTCTGAGAGCTCTGCTGAGGGACCAGTGCCTAAGGGGACGGGACTCTGTGGGGACAGTAAGGAGTTGGGCCCTGCTAGGCGATGAGTCGAAGGCCCCCCAGCCTCTACAGGGGAATCAAAGTGCGAAGGCACGGGGCTCTGATGAGGTTATCAGGGGTTGAGGAACCAGGGTCTGAGGGGAAGAGGCCCTGTGGACCTAGGGTCGGAGGATAGGCTAGCATTCCACAAGAGAGAGAACGTGATAGGTGATGGTAGAACAGCAAAAAGTTTGTTAGAAGGCAGGATACCAGTGACGTTCGTCCACGAAGAATCCCAGAGAAAAAACACCAAGAATGTAAAATGGAATGTGCAAGTGCAGGAGCTATATATAATACATCATGATTAGGAGGCGGAGGTTTGGATTCAGCCAAACTTGAAACTTACCAGGACCGCTTTCTGACATCCTGAAATTTCTTCATTTCTTAGAACTTATGCAAAATGGGTGATAAAAGCACCTACATTTACAAGTTTACCAGGTAATTGACAGTAAAGTGATTAGCACGATGCCCTGGCATAGTTTAAGTACTTAAAAATATCCTCTGCTAGCCCAGCGCATGGCTATAATCCCAGAAACTGGGAAGACTGAAACAAGAGGATCTCAAGTTCGAGGCCAGACTTAGCGAGGCCTTCAGCAACAAAAACTAAAAAGGAAAGGGCATGTGGCTCAGTGGCTAATCATCCCTGGATTCAATTCAATCCTCAGTTTCTCCTGAAACACTCCCCCTCTCTCTCTCTCTCTCTCTCTCTCTCTCTCTCTCTCTCTCTCTATATATATATATATATATATATATATATATATATATATATCCTCCTAAAACTATATATAGTTTTAGGAGGGAGGAAAATATATATAGTTTGTTTATATATACATAGAGAGAGAGAGTCGTTGTTGTTACCAAAGGAAGGTGTATAACTTGACTAAATTCAGCTCTATTTATTTTGTCTACAACATATTATCTTAAGGCAAAATTTTCAGAGCACATTTAAAACTTACATAGCATCTACTTCCTAAACGTAAAATTTAAAGCAAGATACAACTCAAACCACATAAAATAGTAGAATCTGTGACTTAATCAGTGCCGGGCACTGTGGTGTACATCTATAATCTCAGTGTCTCCAGAAGGCTGAGGCAGAAGGATCTGTGACTTAAAGGAATATAAAGAAATACATTGGCAAATTATTATTTCAAAACTATGGGAAATGGTTGCACAGTTAATTTTGTTCTGCATTTCCAGGTCAAAAAAAAAAAAGGAGGGGGAAGGAAAAACCATAATTACATCATTGTCATTATCTAAAGAAAGAAATATTTAGTCAGACAGTACTCTTGTAATCCCAGTGGCTCAGGAGGCTGAGGCAGGAGGATTGGGAGTTCAAAGCCAGCCTCAGCAAAAGGGAGGCACTAAGCAACTAGGCGAGACCCTCTCTCCAAATAAAATACAAAATAAGGCTGGGGATGTGGCTCAGTGGCCAAGTGGCCCTGAGTTCAATGCCTGGTACCCCCCCCCCCAAAAAAAAATAGAGACAAAGAGAAGAGAAGAAAATCCATAAGAGAAATTTATTACCTAAAATAATGATTCTTAATATATAAAATATATAAAATATATATATATTAATATATATATATATTAGTAATACATAAAACCTCTTCAAAGGAAAAAATTCTTTTGAAACTGGGCACATATTTCTGAAATTTCCAATTTAAAAAATGCTGATGTAAGAAACTAAAGTCTAAACAACCATGTGCATATACTTAATGCTACTGAAGTATATATATTTATATACTTACAAGTAAGTATATAAACTTACTTAAATGGTAAGTTTTATGTTATATGTATATTTTACCACAATAAAAAAAGTTTAAAAAAACAAGGAAAAGCCTTGCTTTCAGAAACTGGTTGTGAATTATAAGTGCTAAAATATTGTTTTAAAGCAATTACTGAACTGAAACACAAAATTAAAACATTTTGATAAACTCTCAAAGTGAAAAGTATATTAGACCTGAGGATCTGAAGGCCCCAGTTTAAGAAAAATCTGACTCAGAAACAGGTGTTTTGTGGAAAGATACCTCCAGAAAAACAAGAACAAACAAAAAACTCCTCATAATCATTACCTAATGTACCTGAAGTAAAAGCCAGATACATAATATTGTAAAATTAAATCATTTTTTGTGAAGGAATTTCTGTGGAAAGAACTTTCCAACCAAAGAGAATATTTTAATTACATATCATTATATTAACCTTAACCAAATTTCTGCCTTTACTGTCAACACCTCCTCCCCTAAGTTTCTAAAAAAGAAAATATTTATTACTATAGTTTTCTTTTCTCTCTGCTCACACTGCTATTCAAAGGGGGAACTAATAAGTCTAGAGTTTTAACCTTTTCTAGTCCAAAGTGGCTTGGGAACAAAGTCCTTGGGTGTCAGAAAGTATATACACCCAAAAGATAAGAGATGTTTTACTATGAAACAAGGTTTAGGTCATGCCTTCACAAAGTCTGTTCTTGAAAAGGAAATAAAGAATACTCATCCATAATATTACCTACCATCTCTTACCTTTCTAGGCTAAAAGAAATAGCGGGTCACAGAAGTCTAATTCCAATTTATGTAATTAAATAACTGATTTATATTTATCAAACTTGAATGTAAATCTAGAAAAAGTAGCTGCTTTTTAAATACAATATGTTGCCATTTCTATGAAAAGGCCTTTAAATAAGCATCAGATTACTCAACTTTATTTTTGAATAAGAAATTTGTTAAGATAGTTCAAATTTCACACTCTTTTAAGGAAAAAAATTCCACTTAAAATTAATGGTTATTCAAAAGACCAAAGTCAAAAACAACGCAAACATTTATCCACAGAAAAGTTTATAAATTATGATATTCCTGTAATAGACTACTACACATACTGATACACACTGTTGACAAATACTAATACAAAGGTACATCTCCACAATTTGTTGAGTGAAGGAAGACAGAAAAGAGGTACCATACAATTCCATCAATGTGGAAGTCAAATTAATCTATGGAAATAGAAATTAAAATAGTGGTTTCCTTTGAGTTTGGAAGGGAATGTCTAGAAAGGGCACAAGGAAGACTTTGTAGATACCTTTTTATTTTAATTGGCAAGTTTGTCAAAATTCATTGAACTATAAACAATATCTGTACATCAAAGTAAATGTTGTTATGCCTCAATATTAAAATTGGTTTACCAATATTAAAATGGTTTACCCCTATGTATTTCCAAATAGCATTGGTAGCCATCAACCTTTCATCAGAACAATTTATACATTTTTTTTTTGTCTTTGGTTCTGACAAATGAATTTGGAGTCTTATTTATATTAAACACACACTGTACCATTGAGCTATACACCAAGCCCCAATTTATATGTATGTTATCTTTGCATTTGTTACATAATTTTTATTTACAGATACTGTAAGCTTGGTAAATTGAATATTGAGGTGATTAATTTCAGTTGTGGAGCCAGTTTGGGGAATTCCTAATTCATAGTGAACTAATTAGTTTAAAATTTACTTTCAAAAAAAAAAAAAAGTTAAGTGTAGCCCTGTGAGGTGGCACACGCCTGTAATCCCAGCGGCTTGGGAGATAGAGGCAGGAGGATCTGGAGTTCAAAGCCAGCCTCAGCAATTTAGCGAAGCACTAAGCAACTCAGTAAGACCCTGACTCTAATAAAATACAAAATAGGTGGCTCAGTGGTTGAGAGCCCCTGAGTTCAATCCCTGATATCCCCCGCAAAAAAAAGTTAAAGAGTACGCTAGGGTTATAGCTCAGGGGTAGAGGGCTTGCTTAGCACATATGAGGCACTGGGTTCAATCCTTAGCACCACCTAAAAATAAATAAATAAAGGTATTGTGTCCAACTACAACTAAAAATACATGCATATTTTTTTTAAAAAGACTTTCCTTGAAAATAGAGACATACTGAAACAATTTTTGCTCCAGAGTTAGCAGACTATCAATACTTTTTACTAAGTACTTGCCAAATTCCACAATTGTTTGAACCACTTTCTTAAAATACGCATCTTTAATATATATATGTAAACTGTTTCTGTTTCTCTGAAGAACCCTAATATAAGCACCTTTTAGTTGTTTAACTTACTAGCTGTCTTGGTCCTTTTTCTGTTGCTATAACAGAATATCTGTGACTGACTAATTTATAACAAGAAAGAGTTTATTTGGTCTCATGGTTCTGGAAGTCCAAAAGTTTGGTAGTGGCAACTGCTTGGCACCTGGTGCAAGCTACATGATGCTCCATGTATGGTGAAAAAGTAGAAAAGGAATCCAGTGCCGGGCACTGTGGTGTACATCTATAATCTCAGTGTCTCCAGAAGGCTGAGGCAGAAGGATCTCAAGTTCAAAGCCAACCTCAGCAACAGCAAGGTACTAAGCAACTAAGTGAGACCCTGTCTCTAAATAAAATACAAAATAGGGCTGGGGATGTGGCTTGTGATCAAGTGCCCCTGAGTTCAATCCCTGCTACTCTCCCCCCAAAAAAGGAAGAGGAATCCAGCATTTGCTAAAAGAAAGGGCGGGAACAAGGAGCTGACTTTATTTTGTAGCAACCCACACTTAGAAGAACTTAACCATCTCACAACAAAGACTCCATCCATCTTAAAGGCCCTCCCTCCCAATACCTCTGTGTTGACAACCAGATTTCAACATGAATTTTAGCAGGGACAAACCACATTCAAACTATAAATACAATGATAGAATTTCCATTTAATTCTTAGTTGAAATGTCTCTTTATTAAGATTCTATATTCATTTAGTCATTGACATAATGTATAAAAAATTCTTTATATATATTATTTCCTTTATAATAGTTTCTTTGAAATCTTTACTAAACCACTTATCTGATAACACTTAGATACAGTTTCAGTTGACTGAGTATGGGTAACATTTCTTGGTTTCTTTGCGTATATTATAATTTTTTGTTAGAAATTGGACATTTTATTTTTTTATATTTTTGTTGTAGATGAGAACAATACTTTTATTTAATTTTATGTGGTGCTGAGGATCGAACCCAGTACCTCATAACTGTGAGGCAAGCGCTCTACCCCTGAGCTACAACCCCAGCCCAGAAATTGGACATTTTAGAAGTATTGTAGGAAGTCTTGAAAGTTGTTGTTATTTGTGTGTTCAGTCATGTGCCTAAGATACTAAATATCTTAGTCTGTTTTGTACTGCTACAACAAAATAACTGAGTCTGGATATTTATAACGAACACAAATTTATTTCACACAGTTCTGGAGGTTGTAAAATCCAAAATCAAGGGACCAGCATCTACAAGGATTTTCATACTTCATCATCTTATGGGAGAAAGCACCACGTGATAGAAGGGCAAAGAGAGGGCAAGAGGGAGAGAAATAAAATTGAGCCAAACTCATCTCTTTATATAGAACCTACCCCTGTGATAATAAACCCACTTCTCCAATAATGGCAATCCATGAGGACAAAAGCTAATCACTTCTTAAAGGTCCTAATCATAGCCAAATAGCTTATTTTAAAATCCCACCTCTTAATACTGCTACAATGGCAATTAAATTTCTATGATGTTTTTGAGAGAATGACATTCAAACCATAGCACAAAATCTGTGAATTTTATCTCCCATACTGTATATTGCCACTGAAATATCCATTCAGATTTTTTTTGTTGTTCGTATTTTTAAGCCTGGTTTTCCAGGAGTCTTTGTCATGTCTATATAACTTAGTGTTCAGCCGATCAGATTAGTTCAAGATTTTACTAAAACACCAAAAAAAAAAAAAAAAAAACAGCCCAGCACCATGGCACATTCCTGTAATCCCAGTGACTTGGGAGGCTGTTAGAGGATCACAAGTTTGAGCCCAGTCTGGGCAACTTAGTAAGACCCTGCCTCAAAATTAAAATTCAAAAAGGCAGGGATTGTAGCTCAGTAGTAAAGTAACCCTAGGTTCCTTCCCATTAAATGATTGATTGATTAATTAATTAATTAGTTCAACATCTTAAGCCAGTAAGACTTTCATGCTCTGTTGATGGATCATTGTGTGTACTGGGGAGTTAATTAAAAATTCCACCTGTTTTCACTGGCCCTTTTGAGTCTTGCTTCTTCCCTGTGCATTTGATCAGGCTCCATCAACCTGGAATGTTGGAGTGAATTAGGCCTACCCTTTGATGTGTAAGCTCATAGCTTCTGGTCCACTTGGAATATGTGAAGAGTTTATAAAGTCCTCTGTGACTATGTCACCTTTGAGAAATTCTTAAATCCCTGCCCAGGCTTCCAGTCCATTTTCAACTGGTAATGATCCAAATCATGAAGCTTCCTTTGACAGTCAAGCAAGGTTGTTTGTTTTCAAACATTTCAATCTACTTAAACGTCAATGGCAACAGTATTAGAATAAGGGAATGGCCGTAGTACCAGACAAGAACAAAAACAAAACAAAACCTTGCTGTTCTTACCTGAATTTTAGTGGTTTTCATGAGCACTTTTTACTTATCTCACAGAATGGTTTTAGTTTTAATTCGAGAGTGGCAAATGGTTATTTGGGTGTTGTGGGTTTGGTTTTTTGTTTTGTTTTTCAGCTATATAGCTTTTTTTTGGGGGGGGGGGGACACATCTGCCTCTTCACTTCATCATGCTGAAGTAAATTTACACCTTTTAATTTTATCTCTCAAAAATATGAGGGGGGCTGGGGTTGTCATCCAGCGGTAGAGCACTCACCTAGCACATGAGAGGCCCTGTGTTCTATCCTCAGCACCATATAAAAAAATAAATAAATAAGGGTATTGTGTCCAACTACAACTAAAAAAAAATATTTATATATATATATATATATATATATAGATAGATAGATAGATATATAGATATAGATATATATAGATATATATATATATATATCATGAGGATTCCCTTGGTAATCTAAGAAGTAATTACAGTATCTGGTTTCTATGCTTGGATGATTTGATTCAGGATCCCAACTCTTCAGCCTTATTGAGAAGAAGTGACAACCACATAAGAAATACTCCTTAAATCATAGAGAAGTCGGATTTACTATGTTTGTATTTTGGAGCTGTTTGAACTTTATAACTGACTTAGTATATTTTTCTTATAATTTCAGATTTAGCTCAGTTCCCTATGTCTTCACCTGAAATTTCTTCCCTTTCATGGGGGCAAATGAAAGTGCAAGGCTCTGCCATAACCTATAAGGATTGCAAAGTATGGCCAGGAGGCAGTCGGGCTTGGGATTGGAGAGAAACAGGAACTGAGGTAAGATATTAGTGTTTGATTGACACTACATGAGACCAAACAAGTGATTTCCAACCTTCTTACCCATATCAACCAAATGAAAATCACTCTTTCTTTCTCTTTCTCTTATAATACAGTTCATACCACTATGTTTACATTTTTTTGGTGGGGGGCACTGGGAATTGAACCTGGGGACTAAATCAGTTATAAATAAAGTTGAAGTGTACAATTCAAAAGACGTTTTATATATATCACCATAACCATTAGCAATCAGTGCCCATTACTTCCTCCCTCCAATTCCTGGCAATGACTTACCTACTTTTTATTGTTATAGGTGTACTATTCTGAACATTTCATATAAATGGTATCATTCAATTCTCTTAGGTATATATGTAGGGGTAGAATTTATAGATCACGTGGTAACTCTTCATTTAACCTTTTGAGGAACTGCCAGAACAACTTCCAAAGATAGCTGTACCATTTTACATTTCTACCAATAGTATATGAGGCCTCCAGATTTTTCACACCCTCTTCACCACAGGTTTTTTTATTTTTTTAATAGCCATCTTATTGGGTGAACAGTGTTACCCCTGTGGTTTTGATTTGTATTTCCCTACTATTGCATTTTCTTTAATATTTTCAATGTGCCCTGCCAAAAGTAGACCCTCCTTTCCATGAGCAGAAGTTGGGTGTAAGAATGGAGCCTCTACTCACCTGTGACAGCCTCACCAACAAAAAGCTGGAGGCAGGGTGAGAAACACTCAGATCTTGCTGGCCCCAGGAAGAAAGTCTTCCAGCTGGATGCTGAGGGGGAAAGAACCCTGTGTACTTGGCTGCAGCAGTCTATAGTAGAGTATCTTGATGAACAGGGAGAAGGTGGTGGGCAGGAGTGGAGGCAGCAATTTTGATTTAAGTACCACATATTCTCACTTTATTCCAAATATCTCTGTCAGTTCAGGCTACTGTAACATATTGGCACAGACTGAAGCCCTAAACAATCAACATTTATTTCTCATAGTTCTGGAGCCTCAGAGTGTGAGATCAGGAAGCCAGCACAGCAGGGGTCTGGTGAGGGCTCTCATTCAGGTTTCAAATAGCTGACTTCTCTTTGGATCCTCACGTGATAGAAACAGAGTTAACTAGCTCTCTGGCTTTTTCTTTCTTTTTTCTTTCCCTTTTGTGTGCCTGTGTTTTGTTTTTTGCAGTACTGAGGATTGAACCCAGGGGTGTTGTGCCACTGAGCTATATCCATAACCCTTTTTATTTTTTAAAATTATTTTTAAAATATTTTGTTAGTTGTTGGTGGACCTTTATTTATTTTTATGTGGTGCCGAGAATTGAACCCAGTGCCTCACACATGCTAGACAAGCACTCTACCACTGAGTGACAACCCCAGCCCTTATTTTTTATTTTGAGACAGACTAGCCCTAAATTATCCAGGCTGGCCTTGAACTTGCAATCTTCCAGCATCGTCCTCCCAAGTTGCTGGGGTTATAGGCATGTACCACCACTCAAAGTCTGGCTTCTTTTTCTTTCTTTCTTTTTTTTTTCTCTTCTTTTTTTTTGGGGGGGGGGTGGTGGGAGCAGTACCAAGGATTGAACTCCTCAGGAGTACTTGACCACTGAGCCACATCACCAACCTATTTTTGTATTTTATTTAGAGACAGGCTCTTACTGAGTTTTTTTATGCCTTACTGTTGCTGAAGTTGGTTTTGAACTCTCGATCTTCCTGCCTCAGCCTCCTGAGCTGCTGGGATTACAGGCATGTGCCACTGAACCTGGCTGGTTTATTTTTCTTATAAGGGCATGAATCACATTCATGAGGGAGCCACTGTCATGATTTAATTACCTCCTATTGGCCCCATCTCTATGATTTTGTAGAGATACACATTCAGTTCTTCCAGAAAATGTGTATAGATTTTCTTGGATAGGTGTTTCTTCATTTGGTGTTTGTCCTTGGGGTCCTTTCTTTCTTTTCTTTTCTCTTCTTTTCTCTTTTTAAATGCTAACAGCCATCTTACAAGATAAGTTTTGGTTTCCTGTACTTGTACTTTCTTTTTTTTTTTTTTTAATATTTATTCTTTTTAGTTTTCGGCGGACACAACATCTTTGTTTGTATGTGGTGGTGCTGAGGATCGAACCCTGGCCGCACGCATGCCAGGCGAGCGCGCTACCACTTGAGCCACATCCCCAGCCCTGTACTTGTACTTTCTGTACTTTTGTAACGCACCCCAGTTAGTGACCTACCCCATGGTACCATAACCCTAAGCCAATCCCAGAAGGACATGACCCCTTGACTCTGTAAATCCCCCATGGTGCCATCTAAGCCAATCCCATGCATTCCCCACCCACCTAGCTCTGACACAAGCATCCTCAGCCTATCTCATGGCACCACAACTACAGCTCCAAACCCCTATCACACAAAAGCTGAACACTGGAACATCTTGGGGCCTCTCTCCATCTATGGAAAAATGTGCCTTTATTTGTCAGCTCTGACAAATAAACTCTCGTGTTTATCTCTGCCTGGTCTCCGTCTCATTTCTCACTCGCCTGTCTCCCCATTCCTTGCTTTCCTTTCATTCTTGGTACCAGGGATTAAATCCAGGTACCAGCTCTATCACTGAGCTACATCCCCAGTACTTTTAAAAAATTTTTTATTTTGAGACACAGTCTTACTAAGTTGCTTAGGGCCTCACAAAGTTGCTAAGGCTACCCTCAAACTTGTGATCCTCCTACCTCAGTCTCCAAAGTTACTAGGATTACAAGTGTGCACCTTCATGCCCAACTGCTCTTAGAGTCATTTCTAGAGGCTTTGAATTATTGTGTTCTTCTTGTTGTCATTGTTATTGTGAGGCTTTTGGTCTTTATTTTGTTGACTTTAATAATTTTCACTTAGGAGTGGCTCAGGGGAGCTCCTCATGATGTAATGATGGATCTTTTCATTTTTTGAAGGAATGTGTGTGTGTGTGCGCACGCATAGACTGGGAATTGAACGTGGGGCCTCACGTATGCATAGCTCATGCTATTCCATTAAACTACACCCCATGCCAGATAATTTTTTATTATATGGAAATCTTGATTGACACTCATTTTCATTCAGCACTTTGATATGTCATCCCACTGATTTTTAGGCTCATTAGTTTCTAATAAGAAATCAACTGCTGATATAATCGAAAATCCCTTGGACTTAATGGGTCACTTTGTTCTTCCTGCTCTCAAAACTCTTGTTTTTTAGCCAGGTACGGTGGCACATGCCAATAATCCCTGCAGTTTAGGAAGCTGAGGCAGGAGGATTGCAAGTTCCAAGTCAGCCTCAGTAAAAGCGAGATGCTAAGCAACTCAGTGAGACCTTGTCTCTAAATAAAATACAAAATAGGGATGGGGATGTGGCTAGTAGCCGAGTGCCCCTGAGTTCAATCCCTAGTACAAAAAAAAAAAAAGTCTGTTTTTAGCCTTCAGTAATCTATGATATGTTAAAGTCTGGATCTCTTTGGGTTTATCATACTTGAAATTTATTAAGTTCATGGATAGGTAGATTATTATTTTCATGAAATTTAAGAAGTTTTCAGCTATTATTTCATCACATAATCTTTTGCCCCTTTTCTCTATCCTGTGACTCCCATTATATTAGTGTGCTTTATAGTGTCCTACAGCACTCTGAGGCTCTGTTCATTACCTTCATTCTTTTTTCTTTCTTTTGCTTCATACTTAATCATCTTGACTTACTTTTAGTTTTCATGATCTTATCTGTTATTGAGCCACCTGTGTGAGATTTATTTTAGTTATTGTACTTTTCAAATGTAAAGTTGGTTATTTTTATTTCATTTATGTATTCATTTGGTCATAAATACATACATAATATACTGTAGATTGATCCCAGGGGTGCTTTACCACTGTATTACATTCACAGTCCTTTTTATTCTTTATTTTGAGACAGGGTCTAAGTTGCTGAGGCTGGCACTAAACTTTTAATCCTCCCGCCTCAGCCTCCTAAGTCACTGGGATTACAGACATATGCCACCATGCTCAGTGAGTTTGGTTATTTTTAATAATTTATTTTTCTTCATGGATGTTCTACTTTATATACTTTGGATGTGGCTTTCTTTAGTTCTTTTTACATATTTAAAATGGGGGATTTAGGAGGCTGGGTTGAGGCTCAGTGGTAGAGCACTTGCCTAACATGTGTGAGGCATTGGGTTCGATCATCAGCATCACAAAATACAATGACATTATAAAAAATAAAATAGGGGAATTGGGCTAGGGATATAGCTCAGTAGTAAAGAGAGAGCTGACCTCTTGTGTATGAGGGCTAGTGTTTGATCTTCAGCACTGCAATAAATAAAAATAAAAATAAATAAAATATGACAAAATAAAATATTTGATTTATAGTTTTTATCTAGGTAAATCCAACATCTGGGCTTCCTTGGGCACTATTTTCTATTAATTGCTTTTTCCCTTTCTGTGGACCTGCCATTACTTTTTCTTCCTTTCTCTTTCTCACTCCCTTACTCCCTCCCTCCCTTCCTTCCTTCATATTTCTTGTAGTTATTTCTTTGTGAGAACTGGCCATTTTATATAACACAATGTGGCAACTCTGGAAATCAACTCCCTATCTCCTTCCTGGGTTTTGTTGCTGTTTGTTGTTATTTGTTCTGATCTCATTCTGTAAAGGCTGTATTCTTTGTCATGTGTAGCTGCTGAAGTTAGCTCAGTCACCTTAATGAAGAGGTAACATTATGACAGTGGTTTCCTCACACACCTGGAGCTTACCACTTTCTTTTCTCATTATTTCTTCTTATAATTCAAATCTTTGAGATGACTTTCTTTCTTTTTGAATCAATATTCTTCAGAAATTCCCTTAATGAGATCTCTCAGTGATCTCTCTCAATTTTTGCCTAAAAGGTCTAATATTTTAATTCTAATTTTCATTGGTATTCCAAGTTGGCAAGATTTTTTTCAGCAGATTGTGGGAATCCTGAATGGTCTAACTATACCTTTCTTTGAGATCTTGCCAACAGCGA